CAACGTGGAACCTGTGGTTAGAAATGATGGCAGACCACCCAAAGATCCACTCAAAGGTGTGGGTAATCGGAAGGTCTTCCAAATGATGGGATTTCTTTCAAAATCCACTGGTGGTTTCTATCAGGTGCTTCAGTTCTAAATTTTCTATAAGCGGCACCTTCGAGCAGAAGCTGGTGATACTGCACTTTCCAAGCTGAGAAGAGTGTGACTTGTCCCTTCTGGTGGGATCTTTCAACCCACAAATGATTCCTGGTTGCCTACCTAGGTGGTTACCCCCATGAGCTGAACCATGAGGTCCCTGAAAGCGTTCCTGTTCCTCCACTTCCATATTGTTTCTTTTCCATGTATTTATCTTTTTTCCTGGATGAGGGCAGCTGGGATTTGGAAAAACTTTTCTTGTTGCTCTTGGAAGGGGCAGGAGAAAGACACAGTTGTTTTTTCCTCCCCTTCTCTGAGAAAATACCCAGATGCTCTGCTTTCTTCTTGACTTGGGAAATGGGGCAGTCCAAGTGTCTTCTCCTCGTAGCTGGGCTGGAATATACACAGATGCTGAGGTCCTCATGATGAGAGCATGAGACGGTGTTGTGCAGATACTGGAAGAGTTGGGAGTGTACCAGTATCAGTGAGTTACCTGTAGATGTCCTCAGAGCTGTCACAGAATCCCAGAATGATATGGGGTTGGAAGGGACCTCTGGAGATCATCTAGTCCAACCTCCTGCCAAAGCAAGTCCACCCACAGCAGGTCCCACAGGAACGTGTCCAGGTGGGGTTGGAATGTCTCCAGAGAAGGAGACTCCACCACCTCTCTGGGCAGCCTCTGCCAGGGCTCTGCCACCCTCAAATTGAAGAAGATCCTCCTCATGTTGAGATGGAACTTCTTATGGTCAAGTTTGTGCCCGTTCCCTCTTGTCCTGTCCCTGGGCACCACTGAAAAAAGACTGGCCCCATCCTCCTGACACCCACCCTTGAAGTACTTATAGGTGTTGAGTGTTTATAGGCATTGAGAAATATGAAGAGAAATAGAATCAAGAGAAATAATGTTTTAAGCCACTCCCTGAGCATTTGCATTCTCCTGTAAACATTTTCTGTGTAGGCCATTTCAATATGCAAAGTTGACCAAACCTGGTTTCAAAACAGACGCTCTCTGCTTTGAAAAATGGAGTTTATTCTGCCCTAATGCAAAAAAAAAAACCCAACCCAAAACCTCAGCATTATTTCACTGTGCAATGAAAAGCTGAAGTATTGATTTTGAAATGGATAATTGATTGTAACAATAAATCACCGGGCGGTATCTGTGCAAACATTGATTATTTTTTTTTTTTTCTATTGCGATAATTAATTCGATATGCGCTATAACATATTTATGCGGGGACTAAGCGACTCCCTAATGGTCATAAATTGTCTTTGGTCAAAAACCATCCACTGTGATGTGGTTGGCTTTTTGCCTGAAGACGTGTACCCTAGGAGGGAGCGTAAATACAATTGTGAGGCTGTGAGAAACCCTTAATACCTTCCATTGAAGGATTGGAGACTTGGAAGGAACAGCTGGATTGCTTTAGAGGAGAGATGGTGATGTCCAATATCAATTCTCTTATCACTCCAGCCCAGTAAATCTGGTGGGTTTTTCCCAGATGAGTTGATAGAAACTTTAATAAAGAATAGAATGAAGAGATTTTTCTGGATGAGTTGCTAGAAACTTTAATAAAGAATAGAATGAAGAGGCGCCTCCCTAATGGTCATAAATTGTCTTTGGTCAAAAACCATCCACTGTGATGTGGTTGGCTTTTTGCCTGAAGACGTGTACCCTAGGAGGGAGCGTAAATACAATTGTGAGGCTGTGAGAAACCCTTAATACCTTCCATTGAAGGATTGGAGACTTGGAAGGAACAGCTGGATTGCTTTAGAGGAGAGATGGTGATGTCCAATATCAATTCTCTTATCACTCCAGCCCAGTAAATCTGGTGGGTTTTTCCCAGATGAGTTGATAGAAACTTTAATAAAGAATAGAATGAAGAGACACGTTGAGGAACGTGGTGTGAGGAGGAAGGATCAATAGAGCTTTGTGGAGGGAAGTCTGGCTTCATATCCCTATTAAAGTCCTTTGGAGGAATCACCGAGCGCGTGGGCGAGGAGATCTGGTTGATATTGTTGGCTTGGGTGTCCTAAAGCCTTTTGATAAGATCCTTCACAAAAGGCTCCTGAAGAAATGAAGTTTGGGATAAGAAACCGATGCGACGGAGAACAAAGGATGGAAAGAGATGTTGGTTGAGGAGCACCAGCTGTGGGGTCACTCAGTGACGCCTGGTGGGGTCCACCCTGGCCAGTTTGAGGGTCTCCATGAACATCTATGGAATTAAAACAGGACAAAATAGAGCTGCTCAGGTTGATATTTGTGTCCTGTGGTCAAAAAGAGACAACATCTTGGGTTGAAAGGGGAATGAGTTGCAGCATGGACTGAACCCCAGAGCTGAAGCTCGTGGTACCCCAGGTATTCTCCTGGCCTATTGAAATGAAAAATTCCTGAAAAGGGGAGAAAATTTATTATATAAATCCATTGTCTATATAGCCAGCCCCTGCCACGGAACGTATAGTTTTCTTTATGCCAGTTTGAGTCTTTTTAGGTTGGATTTGTGTTTTCTCCTCCAAATTATAACTTAGCTGAATGCACGTTATTAGAAAAACATAGCCTTTCTCTTTTTCCTTTTTTCCCCATTCATCTCAAATGCTTTATTTCTGGCATTTCTTTATCAAAAAAAATAATAAAAAATCCACAATAACACCTCTTTTTATTTTTTTTTGCTTTTGTTTTACAGAGCATCAAAGTTAGCTGGTTGCCTCCACCACCGGGTACTCAAAATGGATTTATTACAGGCTATAAAATCCGACACAGAAAGACTACCCGCAGGGGCGAGATCGAAACGCTGGAGCCAAACAACCTCTGGTACTTGTTCACAGGTCAGTGTGTGCCCGGTACAAGCCTTGCAAGGTTCTTTTTTTTGATGAATTAAATGCTTTGGGAATAAAATATCCTTTCACTTGAAGGGAACATTGATTTCTTGGCTGGCAGGTAGCATTTATTGCGTCGTATAAAGACTGTCTTTATGGGGGTGTTTTTAAACGAGGTTGGTTTTTTTTTTTCCTTAATGCTTTCATCATATTTGTCTCCTGGATTTTATCATTAATGAAGTTGAAGCTGAATGTCTTGTTTCCGATGCCTTGAGCCTCGGGTGGGTTTTTAGAGCGCTCCGTCAACATCTCCCATTTTCTCAAGGGTGCCAAAATATTGATTTCCTGAGTTTTCTTTTCCAAGTTTTCCTGTGGAAAATCGCTCCTCCCAGAATAAGAAGTTCAACGCTAGATCGTAGCAAAACCATAACTGCAGGGAGGGAAAGCATCTAGAGGGGTATCGTGAGGGTAATGGTGACTTCTGGTAGGTGGAAACAGATGTCATCTGGGTGACATTAAGCCCAGGACATCACCTAGAGAGCAGGAGAGCATCGAGGAAGAAAAAGAAGCTTTGTCAAAGTAAATGGCACCTTTGTGTCTGAATATCAGGATAATATCAGGATAATATCAGAATAATCAGGATTTCACCTCGGGTGACCTTCACTAAGTTCACTTCCACGTGAGAAGTGTAACCTGGGAGAGCTGGAAGTCATTCAGAATCGTAGGTCTCAGAATAAACATCATCATTTACTGTTTTGGAAGGAAAAGCAGCGTTTTATCGCAAAGTTTAATGAAGAGTAGCACGTTTTTAGGAGGAAGACCTTAAATATTGAAATCTCAACTTGGGCATCTAACCCAGGCTCTTGACCGAAGTCCCCATGGGACCTCTTGTGAAGGCTACATGACTGATAGCTGCAAAGTTGTAGTTTCTTGGTGGAGAGGGCACATTAAGCCTCTTTCAAATTGGGAAGGATTTATTTTCTGGGAGATAAAGTAGAAGCCATGATGAAAACTGCTCCAGTGTTGGAGTTGCTGCTGCTCTGATGGCTTAGAGAAGAAAACATAGCGGTGCAGACAAAGTCCCAGAGCTCTGCTGCCACCATCCCTGTAGGTCCCATCCCTGGGAGAGCAGAGCAGATTCGTCTCTATCGTGGTAGATCCCCACTTCCTGAGGTTCTTCCCCATGAATTATTTGGGGCTTGGAGAGCTGAGGGGAGTCCTGGTGGGTTTCCAGCAGCCCCAACCCTCCTGTTCTCAATATCTCCCCATAGCTCGAAGTGATGAGCTTGGTTTTACTTGGGAATACGTGGTTTAGAAATTGATGGGCTTGGTTTTACTTGGGAATACGTGGTTTAGGAAGCAATGAAGAAAATTCTCTACATCCCGTATTATTTTCCATATTCTTATATTGTGATTGCTGGAGATGTGGCTCTTCTAAGTGAAATTTTTAAATATTAATGTGGAGGCCCTTCACATCTTTGCTGCCTCCTCTTTGGTGGGGATAGTTTTGAGTCACAACGCAGGTGGCTCTATCAATTTTAGCCTCGGCTTCCACGTCAGCTAAATATTAACCTGCTCTTTTTAATTATGAGCTTTCTTCTCTGGAAGATGTTGGCAATTAAATGAAGAGAGGGGTTTTTTTCCCCATGCTTTATGGTCAGTATAGACCGAGCAGAAGGATAAATCTCTGTCCCCACCTTTGGGACCCTGGGAGTCTTGTGCAGTTAATTCTTTCCTGATGGTTTTAGCCACAGAGGAAAAACATCTGGTTCTGAATTCGTGCTTATTTCCTAATACTGGCAAGACTTGATATTTTTTTTTCCCTCCTGAACTCCGTGCTCTGAAGTTAATCAAGAGCACAGGAAAGCAAAACGCTCTTCGGTCGCTATCCTAGTCCCTGGCCTGCAAATTTCTTCCGTAAGGAGAGTGTACCTGCTGTTACATGTGCAATTATTGGCTTAGTTATGTCAAACAGTTCTTTATTTTTCTACTATTTGGACCTCCAGTAATTTTGTATGTACGAGCACGACCGCTGGGAGCCACAACCCAAACTACTCTGGGGCTGTTGCAGCCCTTGTCCAATTTTTGAAGCCTTTTCCTTTGGGTCCATAATCTCTTTTTCTGTATGAATTCTGACCTCCCTGCAGAGCTGGGGGGGCTAGGAGCACCGGAGGGATGTGTTTCTTTGGATTTGCATCTATATTTTCCATATATATGCATTTTATATATTTCTTTCCACGTAGCCAATCCAGCTATTCCTTGAGATCTCAAATGACTCCAAATCAAATTGCAGACAGTGGGAACGTCATTCATCTGGGTTTTATTTTTTAAATCTTCTTCCTGTGTGATTTTTATTGGCTTCTTTGTCTTTTCAACCAGGACTGGAGAAAGGAAGCCAGTACAGTTTCCAGGTGGCTGCCATGACAGTGAACGGGACGGGTCCCCCCTCGGACTGGTACACGGCGGAAACGCCCGAGAACGATCTGGACGGTAAATTAATCTCTTTTAAAAGGCCTTATTTCCAAAAGCCACCTAGCTGAGGGGTGTCACCACAATTGTCACCCAGGCCCAGGTTAGGGTGAGATCCCTGGGGTCCAAAAATCCACCAAGAGATGGTTGGAAGTCGATGATCTTTAAGGTCCCTTCCAACTCTAACGAGTCTTTGATTTGCAATAACAAACCAGGATGAATCTTAGACTCCGTAAATGATAAACGTCACCACGTCACCAAAGGAACAATGAGAGTGATGCCAACAATCCTCACAACTCCCCAAGTAACTAGTCAAAGAGGTCAAATCCTGTTTTCCCAGCCTTTAATTGCAGACGTCAACAATTCCGGTTGGCAACGAAGCCGAATAATTAGCGCGAGATGCCGGGATGCGGAGACCTGAAAACCGTGGGCTGTATAAATCAGCTGACATGAAAAGGGGAAGGAAAACACTGAAATGAAAGGGGTAGAGAAAATAGAGAGAATATTTGAAGTAGTAAAGGAATAAAAGGAGAGTAATGAAAAAGTCTCCCTAAAAAAAAAAATAATAAATAAATAAATAAAATAAAATTAACCGGAGCGCAAATCAAATGGAACAAAGAACCTTGAGAGATGGAAGTCACGGCCAAAGTACAGACAACCCCTAAGAAGCAAAGAGGTAGCAGAAAGGAGATGAATAGAAAATAAAAGGCAACTGATGAAAATTGCTGTGATTTTAAAAACAAATCACCTGAAAAAGGATCAAAGGCGAAGCGGATGAAAGAATAAATAAAGAATCAGTTTAAATGCACCCTAGGACTGGATGGGGCTTTGCTTTTGACTGGCCAAATTTCCTTGTGATCTCAAAAGCAACCTTTGCAAATTGAAGAATTTCTGCTTTTTCCCTGCGTCCAAACGTGGTTTTTCCAGCGGAGGGGGAGCAGCTGCGGCCCCCAGCACGTGGAATTGGAGGAAACCAGTACCTGTGGTATCTCAGCAAGGTTTTAAAGAAGAGATGATGCTTTTTGTCCCTCTGTTTTATTTCTGTGTGTTCATGTTGGGGGTGAATTCTCATGGGAGCTGGGAATTCTCATGGGAATGCAAGAAAAATACTCCGATAAACCCGGAGGGTGGCAAAAAAAATTCTATTTTTGAGATCTAAATTGATTATTTTAGCCCTGCAAGTGTTGGTTGGCCAAGGGAGGGCTGGAGCTCAGTGACTGCGGTCCCTTCTCCGCTGCTGTGGTTGATGCCCTGTCTCTTCTTTTCCCTGGAAGCCTGGTTGGCATCGGCAAAACGAAGACGAACGGGTCTCCCGACGGATATCCCTTTTAATTAGTGTGTTTTGTTCAAATGATTAGAAATCCAAACATAGCTGCTTCTTCAAGGTTCCCTGGAAAGCTCGCGTCCCTCAGCTAACAGCTGGGAAGGCTTTAAATATTTATTCTAAGCCTCAAATTTGGCGCCTTGAAAAGGAAAAGTTAAAAAAAGAAGGTGAAAATGGTGTTTTCCCCACAGGGTCTGTTTTAAATAATGTGAGCGAGGGTGGAAGAGAACCCCTGGTGACCTCTGCAGAGGTGTCCTCCAGGAAAAGGGGTTTAGGATGCCTGGTTGCTGATCACCGCGTTGAACAAATTAGATCGTGATACAGTTCTAGCTTCAGCTCCAAATTAGCGCGCGGCGTTTTCCCCAAAGGGTCTGTTTTAAATAACGTGAGCGAGGGTGGAGGAGAATCCCTGGTGACCTCTGCAGAGGTGTCCTCCAGGAAAAGGGGTTTAGGATGCCTGGTTGCTGATCACCGCGTTGAACAAATTAGATCGTGATACAGTTCTAGCTTCAGCTCCAAATTAGCACTCCGAGAGGAAGAGTATGAGAAAGTAGATGGGTGTCCTACCGTAATTCATACTGGGAAATGATTGGGGAGATGGGTGAAGCAACTGGGATGAGGGAAAATTACCCTGCCTTGGTAAAATATACAGCTTGGAATGAGAAAACTGCTCAAGTGACCCAAAGGTAAGGTGTTTTTTGAGCTTCTCAATGGAATTGGGGACCTTTAACTAGCACCAAGTGCTGTGTTCCCTGCTGGAAGACGTGGGTGCTCAATCATCACATAGAAATGCAGTGGAGGACCTGGAGACACGTGTGAGCACGTGGGACGTGGCATCCCAGTAGGAGATGTCACTACTCAACACCTATAAATACTTGAAGGGTGGGTGGATGAGGGAAAATTACCCTGCCTTGGTAAAATATACAGCTTGGAATGAGAAAACTGCTCAAGTGACCCAAAGGTAAGGTGTTTTTTGAGCTTCTCAATGGAATTGGGGACCTTTAACTAGCACCAAGTGCTGTGTTCCCTGCTGGAAGACGTGGGTGCTCAATCATCACATAGAAATGCAGTGGAGGACCTTGAGACACGTGTGAGCATGTGGGACGTGGCATCCCAGGAGGAGATGTGACTACTCAACGTCTATAAATACTTCAAGGGTGGGTGTCAGGAGGATGGGGCCAGGCTTTTTTCAGTGGTGCCCAGGGACAGGACAAGAGGAAATGGGCACAAACTTGACCATCAGAAGTTCCACCTCAACATGAGGAAGAACTTCTTCACTTTGAGGGTGTCAGAGCCCTGGAAGAGGCTGCCCAGAGAGGTGGTGGAGTCTCCATCTCTGGAGATATTCAAACCCCATCTCGACACGTTCCTGTGGTGGACCTGGCTCTGGCAGGGGGTTGGACTAGATGATCTCCAGAGGTCCCTTCCAACCCCATAGCATTCTGTGATTTTGTGATTCTGTGACACCAGGCAGTGACACAGAGCTTCGGCTGCCGTTTCCCAGGATCCTAAGGTCCATAAGGGAAGAAAATAAGAGAAACAGCTCCAAGAAACCTGGTTTTGTGGGCAGATCTCATGAGGTCTGTGATATTGTGATTCCATGACACCAGGCAGTGACACAGAGCTTCGGCTGCCGTTTCCCAGGATCCTAAGGTCCATAAGGGAAGAAAATAAGAGAAACAGCTCCAAGAAACCTGGTTTTGTGGGCAGATCTCATGAGGACTTCTGCTGTGTGCCAGATGCTGGTCCATTGGGCTGGCTGCCACCCAGAGCTCATGTGTCTGAGCACTTGACTGCAAGTACCCAAAGATTTCTATACGTGGCAGAAAGCAATAAACTCGTGGGGTAGTTCAGAGGGAAACCATAAATTTGGCTGATTTGGAATGTAGGATGAAGAACCCTTTTGGGACGTAGGATGAAGAACCCTCTTGGGGCGTAGGATGAAGAACCCTCTTGGGACGTAGGATGAAGAACCCTCTTGGGACGTAGGATGAAGAACCCTCTTGGGACGTAGGATGAAGAACCCTCTTGGGACGTAGGATGAAGAACCCTCTTGGGACGTAGGATGAAGAACCCTCTTGGGGCGTAGGATGAAGAACCCTCTTGGGACATAGGATGAAGAACTCTCTTGGGACATAGGATGAAGAACTCTCTTGGGACGTAGGATGAAGAACTCTCTTGGCACTTCATGTAGAATGGCATCTCAAGGTAGCTCCTCAGAAGTAGTTCTGGCGTCATGTTTAAGCCCAGGAGAAACAAAAGTCAACTTTTTGATCTAAATTTGCAAGGAAATGCCTCACCAAGAAAGCAGAAATATGAGGTACATGTTTCAATAAGGGTTTTTACTCCTGGATATTGGAGTAAAACCGGGAGACTGAAGATCAGCAGAGGTAGATGGTCCAGTTTCCTGAAAAACTGATGGATTTAGATATTTGGCTGTATGTTAAATTTTGGAGAGATCCTCAAAAAGTGGGGCTTTGTAAAAAGAAGCAAAAAATACTTTGTTTAAGGCGGGGGGGCAGAAATAGTTGATTCAGACATTTAACTTTGTGCTTTGCGACGCAAATTCTCAAATTGAGAGCTGTTCCAGAATAAGAAAAAATGCTTTTTTCCAGAAAAAAGTTTGAGAGTAAAGCTGATGAAAATACAACACAAACTGCTATACACAGTTGAAGCCAAAAAACTCACATCTTGAAAAAAAATACCTGTCTTTATAAAATGTCAGTATTCAAAATAATGTTTTAGAGTCTTCTCCATCGCTTTGTTTTGGAGACTTAATTCACAAGAAGGGCCCAAGGACTTAAACTGCCTTTTGCTTCTTGAAAGGAGAAGTGACAATTGAGCTCGGAAACGCGTGAACGGTTTGAGATAAAGGAGATGTGATGTTTGAATAAAGTAGTTTTAAGCTAAACGCCTGCCTGGAGGTGTGTGTAGTGCAATGGAAATCCCCGTCTTCGCGTCGGATGTGAAATAAAACCCATCATTTTGAAGGCAGCGGGTTCTTCAGATGCTCTGATCTCCTTTAGCTGCCAGAGAATTGGTGTATTTAAGGAGTTGGAGGGAATTACAGTATCGCTCCCATTATCCAGCTTCTCATTTCAAGGCCTTCAGTTGTTCTTTTCTCTCTGGGGCCGGTAAGAAAATCCTTCTGTGGTTTGTTTTTCAAGCAGCCTCGTTGAGGAACAGCCACCGGAGTCACTTCTTCTCCTTGAAAGCAAAGTTTGGGAGTTGGAACGGGGGGGTTAATGGCAACGTAACCTGACGTAGAGTGATGCAATGGGTTTCTTCTGTTTTTGTGAGTAGCCACTTTTCGGGGAATTGTCTTCAACCTCCAGACAAACCACGTGCTTCACAAATTTTGAAGGAGTAGAAGGCCAAGGGCTTGGCAAGTTGCTGGGTCTTTTCAGGCTGGTAACGTACCGATGGGCAGGTTTTCAGGGGGCTGTAATGCATTCAGAAGAACTCAGCCCAAAAGCACGTCAAATAGCTTATTGAAAAGTCTTAATTCTTCCTTTTATTGCCTTTTTCCAAGGTTTACAGTGGGAATGCTTCACAATTGTGAAGTGTCTTTTGTTGGAGTTTACATCATTTTTTTTTATTATTAACTGAGGGAATTTTTTTTCCTACCCTGTCCTTGTTGCCTCCCATATAAGCTTTAATCTATTATATTGCAAGCCTTTTTATTGGGGAAAAATAGTAACTTGTCTCTTTCTGCTCTCAAAAAGACAAGCTACTGTGCAGCTCCTCTGAAGAGACTTGTGATATGGTAGTTACGGCGTAAACTCAAACAAAAGGCCTTTACTCATTTAACCTTTACTGTAAAATCAGGCTCATAGAATGCAAATAAACTTGGAGTGATTAATTACTACCCAAAGTAATGGATTTTTACCTGGGGATACCTGTAAATAAAATAATCTCGTTCTATTATTTCATTTTTCTCAACGTTGATGTATTATTTAAAGCAGCTTCAGAGCAAGAGATGCATGTCCAGGAGTTAAAATTCACTTTTTTTCATGAATATACTAGTGTATCCCTAACAAAGTAAACCAATATTTCTTTAAAAATAATCTCTGAGCGGGAAGACAACTCATACAATCAGCTGCCAGGATCCTGCTGAACTTGTAAATAGACCAGGGAGGAGAAAAGTTGTCCTACTGGTAATTCTTTTGCAGGTCATCCTTCATTTTCCTGCATCATTTGATCATTTTGAATCTCTTCTGTAGCTTTATGCTAAAAGTGGAGAGCACTAGGAGATATTCCATTTAAAACAGGATGAGGAACCTCATTGCTCTTGGAATGGAAGGAGGTAGCTCAGAAATAAAGTTGCATGTAAGCTCTGCATGTAACCTGGTTGGGTTTTTTGTGGAATATCTGAGTCTAAGCTCAAACCTTACAAAGAGTGACCTTGAATGAGTAGAATATTAATCTTTTTGGTGCAAATATCTTAGTCTAAGCTCAAACCTTACGAAGAGTGACCTTGAATGAGTAGAATATTAATTTATCCTTTCCTTTTTTTTCCCCTTTTGAACCCCAGAATCTCAGGTTCCTGACCAGCCAAGCTCTCTTCACGTCAGGCCCTTGACAACGAGCATCGTCATGAGTTGGACTCCGCCGCTCAACCCGAACATCGTGGTCCGCGGGTACATCATCGGCTACGGCGTGGGCAGCCCCTACGCGGAGACCGTGCGGGTGGACAGTAAACAGCGCTACTACTCCATTGAAAATTTGGGTAAGTGGCTGGTTTCATTCATGATTTTCCTAAAAGGAGCTTCTTCTGACACGATGCTATTTCTTCAGCTTTGTTTTCAGGCTTTATATGTTGCTGTCTCAGGCTCTTTCTTCATTCCATTTCTCGTTTGGTCTTACCTTCAAAACTCTGGACGCTCTCAAATACGTCCAATTTCTTGGCTCAAATGCTCATTTGATTCAGTAGATCTTATTAAAGACCTAAAGATGGTTTTCCCCGGGCTGCCCTCTCCTCCCCCCCACAATGTTTGAATTGAATGGCAGTCACAAATCTCCTACTTTATGTCTGTCAAAACGGTGCCAAGAGAGAGAAGCACTGATTCATTATTCATGTGACACTTCATCTGGATTCTCAACGAGGTACGCGGGGACCTGGATCCTTCCAGTGGCACCAGAGCGTTCTCCTAGCACTGGGAAAAGAGGCTCAAAGTTTAAAGGAAGTCAAAAAAGTTTAAAGGAAGTCAAAAAAGTTTAATGGTTTCCTTATTATTTCTTCTTTAGCGCTTTTATTCCGGGTAAAAATGGTAAGTTTTCTGTTTGGTAATCTGGGAATATCAAATATTGCAGGAAGATTAACTTGGTGCCCAGGTAGACTAGTTGTCTTGATTTTAAAGGACCAAAACTCTGATATCTGGGGACGCTTTTCTTTGGAATTTGCATTTTACAGCCCCGTGAAACTGCCTCATCCAACCTTTTTCCTTGGGGAAACGTGGAGAGCAGAATAAACTCGTTTTACTGTGACTTCTTCAACCAGCTTCTCTGTGTCCAGGTTTCCTGGTGGAGGTATTTGCAAAGAGCTGCACGTAAACACTCCCAAATATTCCATAGGTTCTGGGAAAGGCTGATTTTAAAATGTTCTGTGCAAGTGTGACCTTAGGGTGGAAAAGGAAAAGCTGTCTGAGATTGGACTGTGGAAGAAATTTTGTGGAATATAAAGATAAAAGCTATTGCTAATGACCGTGCGTGTCTAATAGCTAATGGTCAGGATTAAATGCAAAGTATTTTTTTTATTCCAAAAATTCCAATTATTTTAAGTTGTTTCCTATCTTTAATAGAGTTTTCAGTTGAAGCTTTCACCACTGTTGACCCAGAATGACTAGAAAAGAACATTATATGGACAGAGCTATCAAGGCCAATGTGCTTTGGCAAAAGCTGAGGAGGAGATGCCCACACAGCTCAATTTATAGAGTTCCGAGTGGTTGGCTCTTAATGAAAGTGTCTTGATTAACAAATGGAGAAATGTCTTGGGTTTTGTAAAGCTTTAGTGTTTATTTTCCTTCTTGTATTGTATGATCAGTGAATATACGACCTCTGAGAGTCGCTACCACTGTTTAGAGCATATTGAAAATTTAGTTACAAATAATCCAGGCTTGGATTATTTATTTTTTGCTGAACGTCCTTCAAGAGACTGAGGTTGCCTGAACGTTATGAACTATTCAAATGGAAAGTATCTTTTCGTTGTACATTTTTTGGTTTGATTGTGAATATTCCAAGAGTGAGAAGCGTCGCTTAATTGGCGTTGTCTGGAGAATTTCCCTGAATTTCACTGAATTTTTAGAGTTGGAAAGGACCATAGAGATCATCAAAGCCACCCAGTCTGTAACTGGGTAAGGACAGAAGCTCTTTGGTCACAAATTCTGACGTGTGCATGTTCACATGTACAACTTTCAAAATCAATTTCCATGAAAAATCGCACTAATTAAATCCCATCATTTCAATATCCACAGAAAACAAACCCCAGAGGGATGTGACCAAGGGCCCGGAGAAAGCTTTTAAAAAATTAGAACGGTTGCCAACACGGAAGCCACGTGCGTCTGGTCTGTAACTGGGTAAGGACAGAAGCTCTTTGGTCACAAATTCTGACGTGTGCATGTTCACATGTACAACTTTCAAAATCAATTTCCATGAAAAATCGCACTAATTAAATCCCATCATTTCAATATCCACAGAAAACAAACCCCAGAGGGATGTGACCAAGGGCCCGGAGAAAGCTTTTAAAAAATTAGAACGGTTGCCAACACTTCCTACATTATTCACCCCCTTTATTAGAAACCGTTACAAGAAAATGACCCAAAATGAGGAGACGGAATTCTTTGCCTGATGAAAACACTGTTTGCAATAAGGTTAGGAATCAAAAAGTGCTGCTGGCAGGAATGAGGGGAAAAAAAAAATAGATTTCCTAGATTTTGTGTGGCCTCATCCTGCCTGTTGTAAAATTTCTTGCGAAACCTCTGCGTGAGGGTTATATGTTCTCTTAAATGTACGATGTGGAAGACACGGTGGAGCCTGATACCTAAATAAATGATGAACTTCAGTGAGGTTTTTCTCTCCCCTCCGAAGACCTCGTCCCTTTTGATCCTGGTGGCTTTCAGCTCTCTCTTCCTCTGGGCTCCCCGGTTCTCCTTTGTCTCGTTAGCCGGAGCCTGCCGAGAGGTCGCCCCGGTTCCCCTCCATCCAGCCTGTGATGTATCTCTCCAGCTGAAAAATGGGGTTTTTGCAGCTTCCTGAGCTTCACTGCTGGGCTTTTTTTTCATTGTTCCTTTGTCTGCTGTTTTGAAGCACGTTGCCAACCTATGTAGCAGTTAGATTCCGGAGCGGGAGATAATTTTCATTAAAGAGCAATCAGATTTGTTTGACATCAGCTGCCTTTCAGAAATCCTGCCCAACTCTCACTTGCAGTCACCGTGCTCCAAACCCAATAATCAAGGTCCATCTGGGACATTATTTTACTTCTAGAAGCTCATGTTGTCATCCTGAGTTGTTCTTCACCCTCGTTTCTCTCTCCTAAACTAGTGTCCTGCTGGGTTGAACGGGGATGCAAAACACTCTTGAGACCGTCCATGTGCACGTCCTGATCTTCTTCCTGGGAACCATGTTCCCCTCTCTGTGTTCAGATCTCCACAAAAGCATCTCCTGGCCATCTTTCCAGAGACCTTAGAGTTGAGAGATGGAGAAGAGGGACGCACATGGGTGTTGAAAGTTGAAGCCCCCAGCCTGGCCACACTGGCTTTATTGGCTTCTCAGCATCTGTGATGTGGCTGCCCTGGAAGTTCCTGCTTTCGTGATAGCATCATCAAATGGTTTGGGTTGGAAAGAACCTAAAAGCCCATCCAGTCCCACCCCCTGCCCCAGACCAGGTTCAAGGCCCCATCTAACCTGGCCTTGAACCCCTCCAGGGATGGGGCAGCCACAGCTTCTCTGGGCAACCTGGGCCAGGCTCTCACCATCCTCACACCAAAGCATTTCTTGCTCATATCTCATCTCAATTTTCCCTTTTTCAGTGATCCCCCTTTGTCTGATGGTTCTTGCTGAAGCTGTGAAACAAGACATCCCATGCTTTAAGCTCAGGACTGTTCCATCTTCTTTGTGGCCAAGCTGTAGAGAAAGATAGTATCTTCACTTGTGATTGTGGTGTGTCAGTCTTTGGTGGTGAAACCTTCATGATAGGACAGATAAAGCCTCTGACCTTAACTCTACACTGTTTATTCATTTTATCAAACTTCAGAGTTTATTTATTTTATCCAACTCAGCTGAGTGTGAGCCATATCAGTCCGTGTTCCTTCTTCTGGTCCATCAAGCAGGTAAAGCCAACAGCAAAGATAGTTCAGCCCATTCAGGAGCTCCATCATCTGATTTTTCTTCTCCCTCTTGCCCACGATGGATGTCCATAGCCATCTTAGCCACGGTGTGCTTTGTTATGCACCGGGATTCATCGTTCTAGAGGTGACTGTGAAATTCCAAACATCTTTCCACCTTCAGTGTCCTGCCAGTGATGGACCAGAAGTTATTTCTGTGTAGTGCTTCCTCGTTTTGGATGGAAGTCAGCTATCAAAGTCTCTTTAGAAATCCTATTAGACGCCTCTTTGTAATCCTGAATACTTTTTAAGCTCACTTTGGAAGCCATGGACAATCTCCTTGAGTAGATGGCCCACAGGGGAAGGGTGGAGACCTCCACGTTCACAGGACAGCCTGCTATTTAATTCCTTTTCCTCTCCATAACGTCGTATGGCAGCTTTGCATCGCGTTTCAGATATTTAATTGATTACTTCCTTCTAGGAGAACTTTTTTAACAACTGAATCAGCCCGTAGCCGAGCTTTTACGGCACTTGTCTGAGGAGTGCACTTCAGCTACTGAATAAATCACTTCACCACACGAAGAGAAAGTACTCAGTCTTTCATAATAGTGATGGAGAACTTTATTCCCCGTGATGATCATCTCGAATACAACTCTATAGAGGTACCACTTGGGCTCTAGAAGGAATTAAATGGAGTGATTTTTCTCATGACTGAGTGGTCAGATTGCCTTGGAGACGCTCTCCGCGGGTGCAGAGGAATAGAAGAATATCCTGAGACTTCAGCTCTGGCAGTGAAAAATTTGTTGTATTTTCTTGCGGCGGCGGATGAAAGGTAGTTGATGTCGGTCTCATAAATATCAGGAGCAAACATCCCCTGCTCTCATTCAACCTTTGCTTCGGCGGAGAAATCACTGCTTGACTGATTCTCCAATGAATAATTCCAACAGGGAGCCGCTCCGTTTTCTTTTCTTTTTAAATATTTTTTATTTTCAATATTTTTATTTAAAATATCTTAAATATTTTTTAATTCTCTGCTCGCGATTACAAAGGGCAGGGCTGTTGGCTGATTAATGGTGGGTTAAACAATATTGGAAAGTTCACAGGTGTCGATTCTGATCTTTTAAGAGGTAAGAAATAACGATTTCTGCGCAGATCCAACTCAGAAGGTGTTAAGTGTGGTAATGACCTGGCTGGGCTCGCCTCCGTGGAGCTCTGGATGAAAGCTTACTCAGGAAATAAAAGTTGGAAAGGGAAGGATGCCAAGGAGATTGCCATTTACCAATTATGCAAACCTAAAGCCCAAAATATCTGCCACCTCACGCTGGCTGTAGCAATTTGCATAAAACTTCCAGTAGGTCGTAAAGCTGTATTTTTAATTAGTGGATCGAAAAAATGAAACGTGGTGGCT